GAAAAGGTATATGGGAGCTATATCTAAATTTGAACCGATTTTCACGAAACTTAGCATACGTCATTCTAGGCTTAATTCAGTAGGTTGTGCCAAATTTCGTGCAAATCGAAAGATATTTAGGGACTTTGGTGCACCATTTACATAAAATCGGGCGTAACTATTTATGGGAGCTATATCTAAACCTGGACCGATTTTCACGAAATTTGGCCGACTTCAATCTAGGCTCAAATCAGTACCTTATGTAAAATTTCGTGCAATTCGCAAGATATTTAGGGACGTTGATGCACCTTTTACTTTAAAGATCTCAACCTATTTTCACGAAACTTGGCAGACATCATTCCAGGCTCAATTCAGTACGTTATACCAAATTTCGTGCAAATCGAAAGATATATAGGGACTTTGGTGCACTATTTACATAAAATGTGACGAAACTATATATGGGAGCTATCTCCAAATCTAAACCGATTTTCACGAAACTTAACAGACTTCATTCTAGGCTCAATTCAGTACGTTATGCCAAATTTCGTGCAAATCGAAAGACATTTAGGGACTTTAGTGCACCATTTACCTTAAATCGGACGAAATTATATATGGGAGCTATAACTAAATCTGAACCGTTTTTCACGAAACTTTACACACATCATTCTACTCTTAATTCAGTACGCTATGCTAAATTTCGGCAAATCGCAAGATATATAGGGACCTTGGTGCACCATTTACATTAAATCGAACGAACATATATATGGGAGCAATATCTAAATTCGAACCGATTTTTTTCCAATTTCAATAGGGTTCGTCCTTGGGACAAATAAATTAGCTGTGCGAAATTTCAGTCAATTCGGATTATAAATGAGACCAGTACTTTGTTTACAATTTAACACCAACAGACGGACGGACATGCATAAATCGACTGAGAAAGTGATTCTATGCATATTCTCAAGAGGAACTATGGGTCTATCTCGTTTCCTTTTGCCTGTTACAAACATATGCACAAAGACAGAATACCCTGTACCACAGTGTGGTGAAGGGTATAAAAATACACGCCTTATATAGGTTCCTGAAAAATAATTTAAAAAAATCCTAATCTCTAAAAATATTCCTAAAAAATCAACGCCTTATAGAGTTTTCCAGCGAAAATATATAAATATATTTAAAATTTAACGTCTTTTACGTTAGGCGATTGTTTTTCACTTCCCTTTCTGAATATAAATTTTAGGGGTAGTTTCTTCGTAAGCTTTTTTATTTATAGTATATCAATATTTGCTTTCTCAAAAAAGCTCTCCCATCATTTTTTATTACCAAATCCTCACTTGTCAATGTAAGAAAAACATTTGTTGTTTGCTCAAACATGAATAGATGAAAATCAGAAATTCAGTTCGATTTGGTATTTGTTACGAAAAACAAAGGCGCGCTTCAAAAACGATATAAAATAGTAACTCGCTCTTTTGCAAAAAAAAAAATTGCAAAGAGTATAAAGAGAAAAATACAAATAAATTATAATAAAAATTATATAATCAAGAGAGAGTAGAAAATAATAAAAATAAATGAAAAATAATTTTTTATTAAAACAAATGCATTAAAAATAAATATTTATCAATAAAATCACTACGTATACGCCACCAAGGCACAGTTACTTGTGAGATTTTTGCTTTTGTTAGTATCTGTGTGTGTGGGTGTGTGTTTTGTGTACTCACAACCCAGAGTCAAACAAAGCCAGACAGCCAACTAACCAACCAAGCCAGCCACCCTCTCTAACTCAGTGTGACTTTGCAGCTCTCTATCACACACTCTCTCTCCTTCGCTTTCTCAGAAGGAAAATACTCAACCCGTTATTATAACCTAGAGAATTGTGTGTGTGTTCGTGTGTTGCCTTGCATAGTTGTACATGCCAAAATCATAACAGAGTACTGCTTGCGCGCTCTGAACGAAAGTTATCTTATAAGAAAAAGAAGAAGAACACGAACAATACATCCTACTACTACAACTAAGACTATTATTGCCATTAGAAAGCACACACAATAGCCGTTAGTATACTTTTGAAGAGAGTTGAGACAACAAACAAAGGAAGGAAGCTGCTGCTCTCTGCTCGTTTTGGACTCCCCTCCGCCACTCTGAGATAATAGAAAAAACTAATACAACTGGACAAAAAAACGTAACAGTTCTGCTTGGATTTTTAAAGGCAGAAAAAGAAGAATAGAAGAAAAAAACCCAACCAAAGACATTTTTTATTGTTGTTGTTTCCTCTTTTGCTGCTGCTGCTCTCTGTGTATGTTTGTGTGTGAGACTGTGTGTTTTTTGCCAGCAAAACTACAGGATTTGAAGGCAATTATTTACACTAGAGCTTGAGAAAAAAAGAAAAATAAATACCCCACAAAAAATTACATAAAGTGTAGAGAACGAAAAAAAGAAGAAGAGCAAAAAAGCGAAAAAATACAAAAAAATCAGTGCAAAATAATTGTGAAAATTCAATAGCAAAAAGATTAAATCGATTTTTTGTGGTTTAAAAAAAGGAGAAAGGATTTCCTTTTTTGAAAAAAATATTTTTAAAGAAAATTTGTTGTTGTTGCTGTAAGCCAAAATGGATATGCTAAATCAAATATTAAATATGAATGCTGGCGGAGCCTATGGGGGTGGCAAGGCTGGTGGAGCCTTCGATCCACTGTCCTTTGTCATGAAACCCCAAGTTGTGATACGAGCCTTGTGTTGGGTAAGTTTGGGAAAATGAATAATTCTTTTTTTTTTCAAATAAAAAATGGAAATAAAGGAAAATGATAATAAAAATAAATAGAAAAAAGGAAGAAAAGGGAATTTTTTACACGAAAAAAAATAAAAAAATAGATCAGGGATTAGGAAAAAAATCTAAATTATATAAAAAATAAGGGAGTCAAACTAAATCGAAAAAAATGGGAATTTTTTTACACAAAAAAATAAATAAATGAAGAAAAAATAAATAAGAGTAGGGGTAAAAAATTTGAATTTGAAAATAAAAAAATTTCAGGGATTAGGAAAAATCCAAAAAAAAAAATAAATAGAGATAATAGTAAAAATCGAATTTTAAAATCAAATATTTTCAAGGATTAGGAAAAATCGAAATTATATGAAAAATAAGGGGAGTGAGTGAAGCTGATACGAAGAAAATAATAAAATAAAGAGAAAGATAAATGAGAATAGAAAGAATAAAAAAAATCAAAAATCAAAATTTTTCGAGGTGTAAGAAAAATTGGAATAAAAATGCTTCTGAGTGAGATATCGCAAAACTTTATCGAATTTCTGATTTATGGAGAATAATAGAAATTATGCTTCAAAAAAAGGAATCCTTTAAAAAATTATAATAAAAAATAAGACGAGTGAGACATTGTGAAACTAATACGCACCCCTTCTAAATCACAATTTTTTGTGTAAGCGGAAAAATTGAAATTATCATTTTCTTTATTTATGGAGGATAACAAAATAATCCTCTTAAAAAATCAAGCTGTTTGAAAAGTAGAAAAAAATATGTGAGGCAATATTAATACGCACCCTCTTCAAAATCGCAATTTTTTATGTAATCGGAAAAATCGAATTTATCGAATTTCTGGTTTATGGAGAATGATAAAAATTTAGATTCAAAGAAAAAAAGATTAGAAAATTATAGTAAAAAATAAGAGAAGTGAGACATTCTGAAACTAATACGCACCCCTCTTCAAAATCACATCTTTTTGGGTAAGCGGAAAATCGAAATTATCGGACTTTGTTATTTTTGGAGAACAATAAAAAGTCTATTTTAAAAAATTATTGAAACTATTGCGAATCACTTTCAAAATCACAAATTTTATGCAAGCGAAAAAATCGTTATTTATGGAGGATAATATAAATCCTTTATCCCTGTTGACTTCAAAAAATATATTTTTTTAAAAAATCCAAGCCTATAGTTGACTTAAAAAAATTTTTTTTAAATCCACGCCTTTTGTTGACCTCAAAAAATAATTTTTTTAAAAAAATCCACACCTATTGTTGACCTCAAAAATATTTTTTAAAAAATCATCGCCTTCAAAATCACAATTTTATTGAATAATCACAATATTAAAAAACTGGAAAATCAAATTTTGTGATTAATAGAGGATAACAAAGAATCCTCTTTCAAAACAAAAAAAAAAAAAACAATTTTAATAAAAATCCTTCAAAATCACAATTTTGTCGAGTAATCGGAAAAAGTCGCAGAAATCAAAATTAACGAAGGAAGATAATAGAAATCCTCTTTCAAAAAAAAAAAACAACAAACAAACAAAAAATCAAGCAGTATGAAAAATAGAAAAGAATATCAGAATACGAGTAGGATTATTAGGGCATTAAAAATTCTGAAACTGGAATTCGAAGCTCCTTTTTTTAAGGAGTCAGCAAAATAAAAAAAAATATCAGATTAAAAAAAATTCTGGAACTGGAATTCGAACATTCTTTTTTTAGGAATAAGAAAAATAAAAAAATTATCAGAATAGGGGAAGGACTATTAAGGTATTAAAAAAATTCTAGAACTGGAATTCGAACGTTCTTATCTAAGGAGTCAGAAGTATCGAAAGTGAAATAAAAAATCCCGCTTTTTATCTCTCAAATTCCAAACAAACAAAAAAAAACAATCAGTCTGAAAACATTAAAATTTAATAGGAGGAAAAGGAAGAACTCCCAATTAAAACCACTTCAAAATCCCTACTTTTTGAGGAGTTAGAAAAAATGGAAAGTATCGAAAATTTAAATCCCTCTCCACGAAAATTTCCTGTTCTTATTATATTTTTTTATTATTCGCCAGAAAAATAAAAAAATATAATAAGAATAGGATAAGGAGTATTAAAGGCATTAAAAAATTCTGGAACTAAATGCCAAACCTCCTTTTTTAGGGAGTCCAAAATATCAAAAGTAGGAAATGAAAAAAAAAAATTTTCCCCTACTCAAAATTTTCATATTATGGAATTCCAACAGTATTATTTCCCTTCAAATTCCAAAAAAACCGTTTGAAAAATTAAAATTTAATAGGAGGAGGAATATAACCTTCAAAATTCCGGAACTCAAATTTAAATCCACTTCAAAATCTGAAATTTTTGAGGAGTTAAAGTGTTGAAAATTATAATCCCTCTCTTCCTTTAATAGGAGGAGGAATACGACTTTCAAAATTCTGGAACTCGAGTTTAAATCCCCTTCAAAATCTCAATTTTTTGAGGAGTTAAAAAAATTAAAAGTATCGAAAATTAAAATCACTCTTCCTGAAATTTTCCTTGTTATGGAATTCCAATAGTTTTACTATTTATTTTACCCTTCAAATTCCATCAAATATCCCAAAAACAACCCCCAAAATCCCCCACTCCTCCTCTCCCCTCCCCAGAAAACAAAAATTCCTTTAGTTGATGGGTTTTTTCAGTTACTATTTTTTTCATTTCTATTTTTCTTTTCTTTTTTGTTATGGCCATGTCTTTGTTGTTGTTGTATATACTCAAAGGACATGCCTATATACTACACAACATATATACATATATACAAATGCATGTATATACATAGTTGTATATAACAAGCGACAACAACAACATCAAATGTAGGGTACATACATTATGCAAATTTGTTTTATTGATTTTGGCGTTTCAGGCTTTCTCTCTATGTGTGTGTGAGTGAGTGTGTGTGTTCATGATTTGTTGATGTTGTTGCTGTTTTTGTGTTCCTTCAAAATTTCATTAGATTAGATACAAGGTCTCTTCATTAATTCAGACAGAAGAAGAAGCAGAAATCCTTTTGGAAATTATTTTGCCATTAAATCACTTTTCCAACAAGAACCTCACACACATACACGCACTCACACACATGGCTTGTCATAACATAATCCTCAAAGCTCCAATCCCCTGGGAGAAAACAAAAAAAAACTAAGCAGTGATATAAATAAACTCCCCTAACACTTCTCCCACTCTCTCCCCTCTCTTTCCCTCGCTTCTTTCTCCTCATTAACTCAAAATGTTTTTTTTATTATTTCTGGCACTCCCTCCACCCCTGCAGTTATAGCCACGGCATAAAAGCAAACAAACCCAGGTCCTTAAGAAGTCATCAAGTGGAAAGTTGAGTACTAGCAAAAAAATCAAATAGAATTTTTTTACAAGGACCCACAACCAGGACTTCCACAGAAAGACACTTGATAATGAAGATTTTGTTTTTTTTATTTAGAAAAAAATTAAGTTGTTGTCGTTGTTGTGATTGTAATTTAAGTTAAATATCATCAACACATATCAGCTACACTCCTCTTGGGGAATACACAGGCACACACAATCTCTCTCACACACACACACACATACGTATATCAAAGTAAATTGCTGCTTGTTTACTTGCATAAATGTTGAGTGGGGATTTGAGACAAGTGGGGAGTGTAGATTGACATCAAAGGATATCTGATTTTTTAAATGGCACGGAATTCCCAAATGTTGTTGTTGTTTTGTACAAATGTAATCTCTAATAAACATAAACTAATTGGAATATTAAAATCCTAAGGAGAGAATTTTATAACCTTAAAAATGAAAGAGGTTGGGTAAAATAACATTAAAAAAATACAAAATTAGGAAATCACATATTTTTCTATAGAAAAAAATCGCCCTGTAGAACTGGGGTTCAAATTTTTTTTTCTGTAGAAAAAAATCGCCCAGTAGAACTGGGGTTCGAAATTTTTTCTATAGAAAAAAAAATCGCCCAGTAGAACTGGGGTTCGAAATTTTTTTCTATAGAAAAAAAATCGCCCAGTAGAACTGGTGTTCGAAATTTTTTTCTATAGAAAAAAATCGACCAGTAGAACTGGGGTTCGAAATTTTTTTTCTATGGAAAAAAATCGCCCAGTAGAACTGGGGTTCGAAATATTTTTCTATAGAAAAAAAATCGCCCAGTAGAACTGCGGTTCGAAATTTTTTTTTATAGAAAAAAAAAATCGCCCAGTAGAACTGCGGTTCGAAATTTTTTTCTATAGAAAAAAATCGCCCAGTAGAACTGGGCTTCGAAATTTTTTTCTATAGAAAAAAATCGCCCAGTAGAACTGAGCTTCGAAATTTTTTTCTATAGAAAAAAATCGCCCAGTAGAACTGACCTTCGAAATTTTTTTCTATAGAAAAAAATCGCCCAGAAGAACTGAGCTTCGAAATTTTTTTCTATAGAAAAAAATCGCCCAGTAGAACTGAGCTTCGAAATTTTTTTCTATAGAAAAAAATCGCCCAGTAGAACTGAGCTTCGAAATTTTTTTCTATAGAAAAAAATCGCCCAGTAGAACTGAGCTTCGAAATTTTTTTCTATAGAAAAAAAATTCAATAAACTTGGGACCAAATAAAAAAAATATATACCCAGTAACTTGGGACCATTTTTTATATAGAAAAAAATCTCCAATAGACTGGGGATCGGTGACCTGGGGACCAATTTTTTTCTATAAAAAAATCCCCAGAAGCTGGAGCCATATTTTTTAAATTCCCAAATTGGGTGGTGCTGTTATATGGGAGCTATACCAGACCGTTAACCGATATTGATAATTTTTGGCAGGAATATTTGCAACAGAACGAGAACCAAAAATATCAAATTACAGCCAATTCGGATCAACAACAAACGGAACAATGGGGATACCTTATATGGCGCCTACCCCGAATCGTGGGCCAATGTTGATTATTTTCAGTAGGGCGATTTGACATCCAAAGAGAGCACAAAATATCAAATTAGACCTAATTC